TTGTACCAATTCTACTTAGTTAATTAAAGTTAAAATTAGTAAGTATATTATACTCACATGCAGCATTTCTCCAAACTTTTTTAAAATGTGTGACCAGAATGTATCTGAATAAAGTAAATTAAATGCATCTTCTTTATACAAATGTTACCACCACGTTAAATTGACTCTTCTACTAAAGCAAATGTTTAAATGACCTGTCAAAACAGCTGACTGTGGTACAAAATATTATTAATTGATTATCAAAATGGTAACCAATTAATTTTCTGTGTTTTTTATGTGACTAACATCAGATCTCACCAAAAGTCAACTTCAAATAAGTCAATAGCACAAACTGGAATTATTTCGCCAATAGTGTACACAATTAAGTTAATAATTAATATTTTGAGTTGGGTTTGAGTTCATGCGAATCAGAATTTTTTTTTGGGAGGATTCATTTATGGTAGCTTGCTTCTTTTATTAAGATGTGTTGTCAGGTTTTACAGGACAATGCTCATCGTAAGAAGCTAATTGTGACAATAGGTTTTCGGGGCCTTTAAGAGAGATATGGTGTATTAACCATGTGTCTCTTAAAGGCCCCAAAATACAACAGCAGAGAAAGACAGTCTTTAGAATTATCACAGACATTCAGAATAGATTACAGACTTCTACAGTGGTTAACACAGGAGGAGAGAGAGAATGAATAAAAGTGGGAGGTATGAGGAGGGAGTGTGACATGAGGCTTACAAGGCTTTAACATGAGGAACTGGAGGAGAAAAGGTAAGTATGGAGTAGGAGCTATTCATAGATTTTACGTGACGTCACACCCTCATTGGAACACGGTTGGAGGGCAAAACAAGGCTTTCTTCTGGTGCCAACCAGCTAACTTAACAGTAGTGATTGTCGACACAAACCTAGTTTATAAATGTCGGATAGTTGTTGTGTGATTAGATGTACTAATCGACGAGGAGTCTGCACTGGGTTGTGCTTCTACACAATAAAACCTCTGTAATCTTTCTGCCTTGTCGCTGTCTGAAGGGAGTTTCTCTCTCCAGTGTTTGACTGCACCGAAGCACCTGAATTGCCTGAATAAACTGTACTCTGCTGCTGCTGTTTTTGATTGGGTGTTTTTGATTGGGTGTTGATTTTGGTTGTGTCAGAGCTCTCGTTTGTATGCTTTCACACTGGTGGGAGTGTAAGGGGAGGGATTCTCCACAAGATAGAGACAAGATCTCTAAACTGGATCTCTGGCTGGGACTGTTTTCAGTGACTGAAATACTGTGGTAGGTGGTTTATACGGATCGCAACTGCCCAAAACTTGCAGTTTGTTCACGTATCTTTGTTATTCTTCTTTTGAGAGGTGATATAAATATGCATGGCTTTAAATTAATGGATAATTCACATGCCTCTTTTGTGGTTCCAGTTGCCAGTGTAAATTGCCATATTAGAACATTGTTTTGCCCTCCAGTGCTCCGTGCCAGTCACGTGACTGAAAATATAAATTGCAAGGTGAGTCAGGTAAAGTGCTGATCAGTGCTCTCTAGCAGGCAGGGAGACCAACAAATGTGTGGAGTGGTATTTCAGATAAGAGCATGTCTGATACTAACACCCAGGACTGTTTGTCTGCAAGGCACTTCAGGCCACACAGGTGTGGGCTGTCCTTTTATTCTGCTTCAGCACAGTAGCTGGTCTGAAGTACGTTGTTCTGGTCCTGATGGCAGTGCTGCAGAGGGGGTTATGAAACGAGGATTATGCCATTTTGGCTATATGAGGGTTGCTCAATGTCTGACTTAAAGTGCATGGGCAGCTGTGGCTCAGAGTCAGAGCGGG